ACACACACACTTATTGTCTCCCAACTAGAATGTAAGCTCTATGAAGGCAGAAACATTGCTTTGTTCTTCTCTGTGTTTCCCCACCTTGATCACTATCTGACACTAAGTAGATATCCAACAACTAACTGGTAGCTTGAAAATATTCACATGTGGATACTATCGTTTACACATGTCTAAAGAAAAACTGCCAGAATTCCAAGGCCCTTGAATATTCCCTCCATGGAATATTGTCAGAAATGCTTAACTTACATTATTCACTCAGAAAAAGAGCGCTCACATGATTTAACTAGTAAAACAGCTCCTAGGTGTACCTTATCCTAGGTTTCCTGACATGCACGCAGTCCAGCAAGTGACAGCATAAAATAGGGAAGGCTCAAAAGACCATGAGACATTTGTGCCCTTGGTCTAGGAACCAGAGACCCCCACATCTTGTGATGCTGCAGTGGACAGAGTGATTTCTGAGGTGTAATCTTCCCAAGATGGTGGAAGCACTAGAGTTTTGGGGAAGAGAATAACAAGACAGTTGGTTCTTATTAAAGACAATCTATATTCATTTTCTCGTTCAATAAATGTGGGGTAGGCACAGTGCTAAGCACTGGGGACACAGTGATGAATAAATAAGTCATTGTCTTTGGGGGGTAGGCACAGTGCTAAGCACTGGGGACATAGTGATGAATAAATAAGTCATTGTCTTTGGTGTCATGGACCTTACAGACTAAAAAGGATCTTATTGAGCTAAACTTATGCTGATGCCATAAAATTATGTTTTTGTTTATTCACTCAGTCAACAAATATTTATACTACATGCCATGCTTTGTGTTAAGAGGAGGGAATAAAATGGTGAGCAAAACAAGCCATGATTCCTGCCTTCATGGAGTTTAATGAGGAAGGCATTAAATAATTACATACATACATGGTGCTATGAGATCCTACAAAAAGGGAAACTGGCTTCATTAGATTAGGAGATTTTTGCTTAAGGACGTACCACTTGAACTAACATTTGAAGGTTAAACAGGAGTTAACTAGGCAATGAGGGAAGGGAAGAACATTGCAGGCAACTCAAGCCGCGTGTGAGAAGATCCTATTGGAGAAGGAAAGATCGTGAGCAGGAAGGACTTTGGAAGGGGCCAGCTGAAGAGCTGCGAATAAGGAGCATCCCGGTGTCTGATGGATCTGAGCGGTAGGCTGGCGCAGAATGGTAGGGAAGTGTACCTTCTCTGTTGGTCTGTAGGCTAATGGTCATGGCACTGTAGCAAGTCCATGCTGGAGACACACAGCTTTGAAACAGGGAAGCTCATTGCATCCTCAGGCAGGAAGACTAGATTAAAGCTTTTCAGAGTGCCATATTCAGTAGTGGACCAGAATGCTGTTTTGGTAGCCCATCGATTTAGATTTAAGCACTTCAGCTGTTACCTGTAAGCTCCTCAGCTTATTAAGTGGGAATAAAAATATTTCCCTTTCAGGGGTCTCATGAGAATCAAATGAGACAATGTATTAAAGCACTTAGCACAGTATTTGGCCCATGGCAGGCATTCAATAAATAGTAGCTATGACTTTTCTTTATCTGTTAAATGGAGAGAATGATAGTATTGTTACGAAGATCTGTGATTAGATTACGTATGTGGAGGCATGAGGCTGGGCCTCCTTGGCGCAGTACTGTTTCTCATTTTAAGAGTAAGGAGCCTACAATTTCCACAGCCTGTTGTAATGCTCCTTACAAAATCGGGCCGTTCCTTTCTTCATCTGCCTGGTGCATCATGTGCATTGTTTTAAAAGCGATCTCTCACTTTTCTTAGGTTTCTAGGTTTATGGATCTCTTTCCACTTTGAAAGCTGTGTCCCTGCAGAAGAAGGCACACCCATCATGGCCAGCCTGGGCTGACCCTGCCGCCGTGCCCAGCGGTGATCGGCCCGAGGAGGCTGGGTCTGTGCTCGGAGGGACGGGCCAATCAGAAGAAGTTTGGCCCTCTGCAGTTTCCGTCCTCTCACTAGGAGGCGCTGCGGCGGCCGCGGCTGCTTCAGGGGCTGTCTCCGGCTGTGGCGGCTTGGCTGGCAGCTTAAGGCTCGTGGCCATGGAATGGGGTTTGGAGTCGGCGGCCGTGAGGCGGCACCGTGTTGGAGCGGAGCGCCGGGATGGCCGTGGGGCCACCTCACTATGGGAGAGAGAGGCCCCGGCGGCGCAGGAGCCCTTGGTGGACGCGTGCAGCGGCGGCGCGAGGACGCGGAAGCGCAGCGCGGCGGGTAGTGGCGGCGCGAGTCGGGCTGCGGGGACGGGACTGTCCGAGGCGCGCGCTGCGCTGGGGCTGGCGCTCTACCTGCTAGTGCTGCGGACGCTCGTGCAGCTTTCGCTGCAGCAGCTCGTGCTGCGTGGAGCCGCTGGGCACCACGGGGAGTTTGACGCTCGCCAAGCGAGGTACTGGCTGCTTCCTCTCGGCCCGCGCATCCCTGTGGGTCACCTGCCAGAGCCGGGGCATTGCACCTGTGTGCACCCGCCCCTGCGAGACCGCTCAGGCTCGCTGGTTCCGCTCCACGTGGAGTGGGGTGGCCGCGTCTCTCTTCTGGAGGTCCAATTTACAGGACGCGGGGCTCGAATGGCCCCCTTAGTTAGGCTGGTGGTGCAGATGAGGGTGGCCAGGGGGATTGTTTCTGGTTTTCCACCCCTTTCTGCCCTACCTGCACATGATTTGGTTGTTAAGTACTCTCTCATCTTCGGGATCAACTTCCACTTTTTACTAGACCTTCTGCTTTCCAAGTGAAATGAAGGAGAGTGAAATTTGTGTACCTAGCCAGTTTCATAAAACGGTTCCTGGGGGAGATGGGGGAAGGGGATAATGAAGTGGTCTAACTTTTTGAGGTCAGGTCAAACCTGAAAGTTATGGAAGCTCAACCTGGAAGACCACACTTCAAAATTTTACAATTGCAGAAGTTTTCAGATTCCTGGAGCATGCCCTTGGGCCCATGGCGTGTAAGGTTTAACTTTTCTTTTTTTAATTAAACAAAAAACACTATTAAGTGTGCTAAGAAAGGTGATTAAATCAAAGGTATTGTAACCCAAGTGTGTCAGAGTTCATATAATCATAAGCTAACAGAGTTTTCAACAGCCTCTGTGTTTTAAAACCTTTTTCTTTTGACTACAAAGTGCTGGGAGCTTATTTTATTAAGGAGTTTCTGGAACACACCTCCCCCACTCCCTTTTTTCCCCACTTGGAATGCAGTGAAAAGACAAAAAAAATTTTTGTTTGTTTTAGGGGTAGAGTTGCTTTTGGCCTGAATTGAAGTTATTAGGCCTTGTGTGCACACTAGGAGGGCTGAGTCCATTCTTCACAATCACAAGGGTTTTTTTTGTTTGTTTATTTAACCTCTTGCCTTAATTGTCTTTGCTCATTGGTTTCAGTAACCCAGAATCTGTAACCCTCCAGAGTGTGGCACAATGAAGTTGGATTCTGTCTTGCCTCGTCTTTAGTAGTTTGAATAGAATCCCTAATCTTTGCGTTGATTTCGTATGAGGATTGGGAGAATTTAGGAGTGGGGTGGGTAGAGAAAACTGAAGGGATGAATGCATGGGAGATGAAATGATGGAATTTTACAAGTGATTTTTTTCCCCCACAGGGTACCTGAAATAATAAAAGGCAGCCTTTTTATGTGAAAAGTCAAAGAACTTGTTTTTGGGGGGGGCAAAGGGAAGTTTACAGGAAAAGTTCTGAGCTAAGTGTTAGTCTTAAGCCTCGCACACCCTGTCACCATATTCTTTTGGTCGTTTCCAGGGATTATTTGGAACACATAACATCTGTTGGTCCCAGGACTACAGGAAGTCCAGAAAATGAAATTCTGACAGTGCATTACCTTTTGGAACAGATTAAATTGATTGAAGTTCAAAGCAACAGCCTTCACAAGATTACAGTAGACGTACAACGGCCTACAGGTTCCTTTAGCATCGACTTCTTAGGAGGTTTCACAAGTTACTATGACAATATCACCAACGTTGTGGTAAAGCTGGAACCCAGAGATGGAGCCCAGCATGCTGTCCTGGCTAACTGTCATTTTGACTCAGTGGCAAACTCACCAGGTATGTACCTGTTTTTTAGTCATTTTGAAGTTGTTACATCCCAGGAAGCTTATCAACGCCAAGCTGCTTGGGCAAATGTGGGACACCATTTTCTTGGCCAATCCTCATTTGTGATAGGCTGGATAATGAGAAGATTATTATTTAGTTTAGAATCTAACCCCTTGCTATTCACTCAAGTGCTTTATTTATTTATTTTGTAAACATTAGTGTCAGCAGCCCAGTGTCAGGACATGGAACGTTGTTGCTGGTAGACTGAAGCAGCTTTATCAGTGTTACCAGTATGCAGCCCTGAGTTCTGGAGTTAGGTTCTGCCACTTGAAGTGTTTACTCAGCTAGGTGTTGTACTGGGCTTTGGGGATACGGGATAAAGGAACAGTCCTTGCCTTCACAGGACACAGGGTTTGGAGGACCTCTCTCCTAGCAGTTTTGGTTGACCAGTAAAGGGAGAATTTTGGCCCACTGAGGGATGCCATACTGTTGCAGTACCTCATTAATCCATAAATCTTCCTCTGGAAATACTTTGTCAAAATATAATAGAATACTTGATGATTAGGACAGTGCTTGACACAAATATTTTGAATGAATGAGAATCCTTTAAACTGAACTTCCATTTAAAAAAAATAAGATTCATCAGAAAAACGCTTTCAGTAATTAAAGAAATTGTGAATAGGGAAGAATAGAAAGTAGCAGCATTTTACGATGGAATCATAGCATTTCAGAGGTAGACAAGACCTGCGATGGTGTCTGGTTCAACCCTCCTCGTTTCACACAGGAATAAGCTTAGCTGATCACCACTGAGCAGAGACAGAGATGGGACCGGAGGCTGTGTTTCCTGGCCAGTCAGTTCTTCCAGCTATATTTGAAAGGAATGAGAGTTAGTACTCCCTTTGGCAAACTACTTAACCTCTTCTTTCCTCAGTTTCTCATCTGTAAAATGGAGATAATAATAGTACTTTACTATTTGCATTGCTTGGAGGATTAAATACAAGTAAGACACTAGGAAAGTGCCTGGCATAAAAAATGCTTTTTGTTGTTTTTGGTTTGTTTTTTTTTGCTATTCATTGTTATTTAGTGTTAATATTTCTGAATTGCTTGAACTTATAGCAGTCACAAAATATAAAATAAAATTTGCTTGATAAAATGATTCATCTTAAGATATCTTTAAATCAGAAAGCTTGCCAAGTGCATTTAGAATGTAGCATGCTTTTTAAAAAAATCAGTATACACATATTTCCAAGAAGATTATATGGCAAATATAACTAGATTTGGGAAAAAAAAAAAAAGAACGTTTCAACGAAACAGTGGATTGAGCACATGGAGTGCAGAATGACTTGGTGAAAAAGGTGAGTTATTGCTTGTCAATAGAGAGGTCAGCAGGACCAATGTGAATTGTTTAGGGTAGGAGAGATTCATATGCGTTTGTAGCATGAGAAGAAAATGAGATTGTTCCTCACTTCAATATTGGCACAATATCCCAGTGACATGCTATTAAATATTTTTTGAAAATGTTAAAAAAATCAGTATACGCTTTTTTTTTTTTTTAATAAAGTCAGAAATACCTTTGTGTATGCCAGGGAAATTGATGATCTGCAGAGTGCTGCAGAGTGATCTGCAGCCTTTATGCCTAAGTCAAAGCAGTAATAAAATAAGTGTCACCCTATGCCCGATGCTTAAATTCTAGGAAGGGACAAATTAATACCACGGTTATTTAAGAGCATTACATAACAAAGATGTGTATAAAAGTATCAGAAACGTAGTGCCAAATAGATATATATACATATATATGTATATACATACATATATATGTATATATATGGAATTCAGTAATGAAAGAATGGTATTTTTGTGGGTCATTGGAACTCAGTTTAAAATAAATTTTTCTAAGAATACCTATACCAACAGTCTCAAGGACATTTCTATCAATAATAAATTGTTAAAAATAGTTAAAAAACACAGTCATAAAATAGACTATCACCTGAATCCTTTCAGTGGATGAACTAATTGAAACATGAATATTTTTTTTAAGTTCTTAACAGCAATGTCTCTGGCCCTTAGGAACTGATACCAATTAGGGGTAATGTTACCCACAGAAAAGCCTTAACTATCTTCTTGGGTTTGCTGCATGGTTCCAGATTGTTGGTAGAAGAGACATTGAGTTATTTTAGGGGTGGCTTCAATTTCAGGGTTAATTCTAAATGGAAAGAGATGTTGGTTAACCACCCAGCCCTATAGATACTGTCCTCTAACTTTCCTTCACTTTCTTAAAGATATTTGACCCTCTCTAGTTCTGTTCTCAGACAACAGAACCATTAAAATAAAGGAAGATAAATGGACAGTTTAACTTTTTAATCTACCCTATAGAGTATGTCTCTTTCAATTTTCTTTTGAATAAAGAAAAATTTTTTATGGTTTACTTTTTTATTTTAAAGTAACCCATTGTCTCAAAGTTAAAAACCATTAATTTCATTTGGCTCTTGGATGGTGGCACTTTTTACTGACAGCTACATATACTTCTGGCTTGATAGTAATTAGATAGATAGCTATTACTTTGTTTCTCTTTGATTAAAATACAATCCAGTAATCACTGCCAACACAAGCAATAGGTAATAAGTAGTTTTTCTTGACTAGGAATGGAGTCTGGAATTAACAGTGCCAAAACAAGCATTTTAGCTAGCTGTAAAGCCTTAAGTTTTCAAAGAGAAGAAGGAAGAACTAACACTGAGTGCAGACCACGTTATCTTGTTATTCTCACAACACACCTGTGAGGCAGATATCATTAGCCTGCTCTCTGTACAAGGAAATTGTAGGGTAAATGACAGTTAGAATTTACTTCCAAGTCTTTCTTACTTGAAAGCTCGTGATAATAACCCTGGAGCACCCTACCTCCCAATGTATAAACCCAGAAATGCTATTTCCTGGGTTATTACTGTGTCTGTTTGCTTAGATTACTCTTTAAACTTTTTATTATGGAAAATTTCAAATATGTACAAAAACAGAATTGTTTAATGAACCTGAGTGTACCTGTTACCCAGCTTGGACATTCTGATCTTGTTTCTTTACCCGACCCTGCAACTCTTGATTATGTTGAGACAGATCTCAGCTGTATCAGTTCTGCTGTATTTCAGTCTATATCACTGAAAAATAAGAACTCTTTTGACATTTCATAACACCATGAATTATCTCACTTAAAAAATAATAATTCTGGGCCAGCCAAGTGGCTCAGTTGGTTAAGAGCGAGAGCTGAACAACATGGTTGCTGGTTCGATTCCCACATGGGCTAGTGAGCTGCGACTGAGCTTAGTTGCCGCTGAGCTGTCTACAGGTGGCAGGATGGCTCAGCTGGTGAGAGCACATGCTCCTAACAACAGGGTTGCAGGTTTAACTCCTGCATGGGATGGTGGGCTATGCCCACCCACAACTAAGATTGAACACGACACCTTAGCTGAGTGGCCGCAAGCTGCTAATGGGTAGCCGGATGGCAACTGGACTTGGAACTGAGCTAGTTGTGCCCTCCACAACTAAGATTGAAGGGCAACAACTTCGCTGTTCCCCTTCCCCAATTCCCCAAAAAAATCTTAAAAAAAAAATTCCTTACTATCATCAAATATCCAATCATTTCCGTTACCTCTTATAGTACTTTTAAAAAAATCAAGGCACTAAAGTCATCTTTATAATTACTTTTAATTAACATATAAAGTTTCTGAATCAAGAAGTTAAGTGATTTGATGAGATCTGCTTTATCAGTGTTGTACAAGGAAAACACTTAGGTTATTAGTGTTTTAAACTCCTTTCTTGGATTAAGGTTCCTCAGAGAATGCTGCACCATCTATACTAATCCCTTTAAATGTGGAGTGATCTGCAGTTTTTATGATTTTGGCAGGAAAACAAGCAGGAAAGGAGTGGGTGGCAGGGGGAGATGATTCAGGAAGCTGTGAACACCAGAAGTGAGAATATTACAGAGGATGTGGAATAAGGATAATGAAGGTAACAAATTGCTTTGGGTTGATGAGAATACCAGTTTTCAGTATTAATTTAGGTCCCATCGGGTTGATGATTCAACAAATACTAATTGAGGGACTACTGTTGGCTAAACATGGTTCTAGACATTGTAAGTCCACAAGCAAAGAGCCCTGCCCTCATGGAGTTTACTGCTGGTGGGTGTACTTCTCACTTAATGGTGACAGGCAGAATTATGCTTCTTGTCTTGCAACTCCGTGATGCTTCTTCCTTGAGGAGAAAACCTCATTCCTAGACCTAATGGTTCACACTGTAAAGGTTTTAAAAACCTTAGAAGCAAATCTGTTTTTCTGATTCGAAGGTGCCAGTGATGATGCAGTTAGCTGTTCGGTGATGCTGGAAGTCCTTCGCGTCTTGTCAGCATCTTCAGAAGCCTTACATCATGCTGTCATATTTCTCTTCAATGGTGCTGAGGAAAATGTCTTGCAGGTGCGATTGTATTGTTTTAAATAACTAGGCTTGAATAATAACAATAGTAGCTAACACTTATGCATTTTGATTATTAATTTGAGGAGTATCATAAAATCGTATGCAAAGAAATATTGTACTGGGCAGTACTTTAAAAATCCTATAGCCACTTGTGTACACACATGCAACATTTGAAAACTCAGAACAGATCATCTTGTCAGTATTTGATTCATAAAAGGGCTCTGTGATGGCATAATTATTCACCTCAGGTTTTCTTTGACACTGGATTTTCAGAGATGTTTTGAGGCAGGCACACAACACGAATACCCAACCATGCGGATTGTGCCTTCTACTTGTCGCCCTTTTTTTGTGCAGCCTCACACTTACCAAGGATGTTGTGTGGCATCTCTGATGGAAATCAGGCTGCCTTCTGGGATGGTGACTTTCCACTCAGCAAACTGCACACAGCAATTATGCTCAGAGAGAGAAACAGATAGAGGTCTTTAAATACTGCCTTTGAAAAAAATAATAATTTTCCTATTCTTTCTCTTATAAGCATAGACGTTCTGTCTTTAAAATAAGCGAAATGGAGACTTCGATAACTTCAGATTGCTTGACCTATATTTGTTTATTTCCTTCTCATTCAGGCCAGTCATGGTTTCATTACTCAGCACCCCTGGGCCAGCTTGATTCGGGCATTTATTAACCTGGAGGCAGCAGGTGTAGGAGGGAAAGAACTTGTATTCCAGACAGGTATGTGAGGCTATATTGTATATTTTAATTTCGTTGCATTGTGTACGTAACATAACTCTTGTTTTTATAAAAGTGGAAAAATTTTGAGCACAAGTAATCTCTCTAATGAAATGAACATTCTTTTAATAGCATCTAATACTTGTATAGTGCTTATTACATAACAAATGTTGTTTAAAGCATTATCTACACGTCTATGTCACTAATCCTCAGAACAGCATGAGGGATAAGTACTGTCATTACCCTCATTTTACAGATGAAGAAACTCAGTCAAGAGAGACTGTAAGTTTCCTCAAGTTTCACTGTTTGTAAATAGCACAGTGGGATTTGAACCTAGGAACCCAGGTTCAGAGCCCTTGTTCTTAGCTACTAACCACATTGTCATATAGGTGGTGAACTTTCTTTTATCCATTATGGGTGATTATGATATAAATAATATTAAATGACAGCCATTTCATGAATTAAAATGAGAAAATTTACCTGTAGTTAAAGAATTTTGTTATTGAATTAATTTGAATGTCATAAAAACCCAGTACTATGTAATCAGCCAGAGAAATATTTTTAGTTTTATGATTAAACTTTTCTATGGATAACAAGATTATAAGTTATAAAGATAACTTGTCAATTAAGTTGTTAGGTATTAATTGTCATCTTTCATAACAGAATTCCAAGCTCTGATTTGTGCAATCAGGGCGTAAATCTGACGTTGGAAGTTCCATGACATTTCCCACTCTGTTAGTAATTTGGATAATGTATTGTATAGTAGCCAGAGATGTAGCATTTGCCAGAAGTTTTATAATGAGGAGTGTTTGGGGGCATGAGATGGGCTAGGAGAAGTGAGGAAGGTGATACAGGAACTTGTTTTTTAGCACCCTTTACAGGCATGGTATTAAGTTATGAAGATCTGCTAAGTGCTAATTATGTCTTTATAACCTAAACAATACCATATTTTAATATTCTCCATCCAACTTACTTTAAACTTTTACCCTTCAAAATGGATGTATATTTTACTTCAGCTAAACCTTTGAGAATCTCAAGGTCATGAGGGAAGGAAGAAGCAAGGTTCTGCTTTCTTTTCAACTCTCAGAGCTTTCTGCTTATGCTTACTCTTCATCTGACTAATGAGGAGAAGCTGGTGTCTGATGTCCATAGGCGTAAGCAGCTGCTGCACTGTTATCCATTCCCTCTAATTCTTGGATTCAGTCAGGACAGGAGGAACATTCGATCAAAAAGCAGCAAGAGAAAATTCCGTAAGAAAAGACAACACGGCGTCTGTCTTTCCTATGGTGAGAATGTCAGGGCTCCACATGGGCAGGAGTGTGTCTTTGTGTTTTTTCCCTCCTGGAAGCGTACTGAATGTTATGCTTTTAACATGTCATCGCAGCGCCCCCGCCCTTTGTACTCTGTGACCCAAAGGAAAACCAGTCCTAAGGTGTAGTCTGTACCTTTCCTGATTTTTTTCTGTGCATATGTATTCTATGCATATAAATATATTTTACATATATGTAGTCCAGAGAGGTTAAAACACATTTACCTTGGGTTAGGGAAGTCTACACCCAAGTCAGTTCCTTTATTTACATTTATTAAGTACTCACTTTTGCTAGGCCTGACTATCTTGTAGTCTGCACTCTTTTTTACTAAATGTAGATGGTTTTACATAAAAAGCCTATAATTGTATACATTTTAAATATAATTGCATTATCTGGAAGGATATAAAGGAACTGTCTTAACAGTCACTGCTGGGTGGTGAGTGTTGGCTGGTGGAGATTTGGAGTGTGACTGCAGTGGGGGATGGGGCAAAATGTAAATAAACAGTTTTGAACTCTCCATTGCTTCATGAATTTATACCAGAACTGTCATAACTGCTTTACTTAGACACTTTATAGTTTTATGTAGTCTTTAAATTTTTGCATTGTATATGATTAATAAGGCAACAGATTTGTTACTAGTTAGCAATATATATACAATTTCAATGTTTTACTCATTGTAAAATAAAATCCTCCCATTTCAAAATTAATATTTTTCTGGAGGGGCATTCTTACAGAAGATTTGGAGAGAACGTTTCCCCCTTTCTCAGTGTTTTCCCTCTGGGTTTTGGTAGCTTATTCTTGTGGCTAAACTGCCTGCCCAGATGATTTCTGGGTGCTTTCTGACATTCCAGTATCTCTCCCTGTATTTCTCTCACTTCCAGTTGCCACTGCCTCCAAAAGATGAGCTTTCCTGTGAGATTGGCTTTCAGAGAGCTAGTTATTGTTGCTTCCACGTTTGACTAAAAGAGGAGAAAGGCCTCCTGGATTTGGAGTTGTGCTTGGGAGTGTATGCAAGATCGCCCTGTCCTCAGACTCTTGAGCAGCCCCTTTTCTTCCCTGTGCAGTAGCACTTGTCCTGTCCTGGAAACTTTTCAGTTAAAGCAGTTTGTACCGTCTAGTGCTCCATTGTCACTTCAGAGAGAGAGACATTCACTTGGGGAGATTTTAGTGACTAGAATAATCATTACTACCTAATTTTTAAAAAGGGATAGAATGCATTAAAAAATGACCTGAATTATCAGGCTAGTGATTTATAGCATGAGTCAAAAAGGTTTGATTTAATAATTTTGAAGGTATTATAAAATCTATTATCTTAAAATTGAAACAGATTAAATCTGTAATATATGTTCCTTATAAAAAATTCAAATATTACCAATCTTGAGTAGAAGAAAACCCATAGGCAAAGGAGTCATGGATTCCTTTTTTTCTCCTGTGAAGAAATACCCATGCCTCTGTAATCCCACCACCCAGAGCAAACCGATGTTATAGTTTAGTTTCTACCCTTCTGGAATTTCTTCTATACATACACATTAGTATATTTTATATATTACATACTTCGTATATATATCTATCTCAACAAACAGATTATACTATTTTATAGCCTGCTTGAGATTGTATTCTTTTAAGAAAAATTACAACCTTTTTTTTTTTTAGATTTTTTTATTGGGGAATTGGGGGGATGGGAACAGTGCTGGGGAATTGGGGGGAGGGGAACAGGCAAGTTGCTGTCATTTTGTTCTTCAGTCTAGTTGTGGAGGACGTTGCTTCACTGGCCCAAGTTGGCACCATCATTGCGCTCTTCCTAGGCGAGGCCGATCAGTCGCTGGCTTCTGGATGGCTGCTCACTGCGGCTGCTGGCCGCTCACGCTGGCTGCTGGCTACACACGGTAGCCCATGGCAACCCACTGCCACAGGGGCTGCAGCCTACGCCGTCGCCGGCGACTCATGCAGCCCAGCTCCAGGTTGAGCTGTTGTTCAGCATCTTATCTGTGGAGGGCAGTGTCACTGGCCCTCATATGTGGGATCCGAACCGGGGCCCTCTGGCGTCCCAAGCCAGTTCTTAACCATCGCGCCACTCGGCCGGCCCAAATTACAACCTTTTAAGAAAGGTTTATTGAGATATAATCCACATACTATACAATTCATCCATTTAAAGTAAAAAATTCGGTGGTTTTTAGATATTCACAAAGTTGTGCAGTCATCACCGCAGTAAATTGTAGAATCTTTTTATCACCCCAAAGAGAAACCCCATACTCATTAGCAGCCTGGCTTCTTTCACTTTGTACAATATTTTTTGAGGTTCATCCATGTAGCATGTATCACGATTTTATTGTTTTTTATGGCTGAATTATAGATTCCATAGAATGGATGTACCTCATTTTATTGATCGTCAGTTGATTGGCATTTGGGTTGTTTTCTACTTTTAGGCTATTTTGAATGATGGTGCTGTGAACATTAGTGTGTCTTTGTGTGGCAATATATTTTAATTTCCTTTGGGTGGATACCTATGAATGAAATTCATAGAGTCACATGGTAAGTTTATGTTTAACTTTTTAAGAAGCTGCCAAACTAAACAATTGAGTTTTATTTTAGAAGAAATGTAGATTCAAACAACAGTAAGAATTTTTTATATTAGATTTACAAAAAGTAATGGAATGATAATACCCAGTGCTGCTGAATATGCGTATAGAGGGACAGGCATTTTCATACACTGTTGGTGGGAGTGTAGACTGAGGCAGTTTGGGGACAGTTTGGCACTAGGTGCCACTTTATAAAATGTGCACACCTTCTGTCCAGTAGGCCCATTTATAGGAATTTATCCTGTGGAAATAGTTGCACATAGACACATAAATCTAAGTGCTACGCAGTCTTCTTGGCTTTTTCATGAGTAAAAAAATTGAAACTACCTTCCAGGTCCATGCATAGAGACTGGTTACATTAATGCTGACTTAAATGTTTTTTCCCCCTCTTCAGTCATTACTTTTTCTCTCCCTGTGAGATCATTTCCATCAGCACACAGACATGCCTTTTCTCTCTTCCTAAAGAAAGCCACTTTTGATCCCTCCCACTCCCTAGCTACTGCTGTTTCTCAATTCCCATATATTGCAAAATTCCTCAAGAGTGGAATTCCTTTGCAGCTGTTTTTCAACTAGTTGTAGTCAGCTTTAAATTTGCTATTGTAAAAGTCACACTGCTAAATTCAGTGGTCAGTTCTCAGGCCTCATCACGCTTGGCTTCTATAAGAACATCTGCTGCTCTCATCTCCTTTACTAAGTCCCCTTTTTTTCCCTTTGTTTCTTCTGGGTGTTGTTGCCACCAACTAAAGTTAGATAGAAGTAGAGCAGTGGGTATGATGCTGTTTCACTAAGTTGGGTCTGCTTTTACTGGACTTTCAGAGAACTTTGACTTTTCATTCTTGACACAAGGTATACCTCCTCTCAACAACCCACATGCCCATACCCTTTGTGTTAAGAAAGATGGGGCTCATTCTTTAAGCAGAAACCAATATACGAGAAACTGGACGCATCATAGGATTTAGACGATGGCAGGAGAAAGAATGTAAAGTGAAAATATTTCTGTATCTGCCCCCCCACCTTTCTTTAGGAGAAAATTAAGAGCTTTCTGGGGGCTTCAGGATAGGGTGATAAGAGCACAGGCTCTGAAGTCAGATGACCCAAGTTCAAATCTCAGCTG